TTGTGTGACCTTGGACAGGTTAACATATCTGTGCCCAAATTGCCGGTGGGTGTCCGAGTGGGACTGACATTGCCTCTGAAGGACGATAACGAGGCTCTGCGGTGCAGAGCTCAGCCTGGTGCCTGACACAGAGTAGTTATCCAAGAAACGGGAGGGATTGATTTTTAGTACCATCGTCATTGTCATTGTCATCAGAGCCATGTATTCCTTCTGCCCCCCGCCATTGTCATTGTTATCATGAACCAGTGGGTTCATATATACCACTGGGCCTGAACTGCGTGGGGAAGGGGGTCGCTGGGCTTGACATGCCTTCCTCCCACCAGCAGCTCGGGACAGGCCGCTGCTAGACGGCTGCAGCGCGAGTCTGCTGGAAAGTAAAAACAAGGCCTTCCTCCCAGGGTGGTGGCAGTGACCTCCAGACACAGGGTACTCCTGCGGCAGCTGCGGTGCCCTGCAGCTCCTGCTGGGGAGAGGAGGAGACTCGCTGAGGCCTGACCTCAGGCTCAGGGTGTTAGGGAAGAGCAGGTGGGGTGAGTTCGTTCCCCGTTGCCTCCCGAGCTCCAGCTTTGGTGAAGCCTCAGGCTGTGGATAGCGCCTCGAGCTTCCCTGGCCCCAGGACCCCCAGGCCCAAGAAGAAGAGCTGTGAGGGAGCCGCCGGGAGCCCAGTAGGAGGCCAGCAGGATGGGGGAAAGAGGGACTTGGAGATGAGACAGTAAGTAGATACTGACAGGGAGAGGGAGTGGCTAGGAAGTCGGCAGAGACAAAAAGATGTTCAGGAAGCCCTGGGATGGGCTCCCAGCCCGCGGCCGTGGAGGCGTGCCGTCCCCGGCCGCAGCCACTGTCACATGTGGCTGCCGAGTGCGTGCAGGGTGGCCAGTCTGGACAGAGCTGTGCTGTTGGCATGAAACGAACACTGACACAAAAAACACATAAAGTATCTTATTAGTGATCCTTACACTGATTTATGTTGAAATGATAATATTTGTGGTAATTGGATTAATTAAAAGATATTAATTATTAAATTATTAAACTAATTTCTCATTTTTTTCTACTTTTTACTATAAAACCAGAAAACATACAATTCCATATGTGGCTCGCATAGTATTTCTCTTGGACAGTGAAGGCGAGAGAGGCCGAGTGAGGGCGATGGGTGCCCACGTTTACCACCCTGGGCTTAGTGGTGCGGTCGTCCCCGTCTGTCTGAGGTCCCCAGGTACCCAGATGCGGGATACCCTCAGAAGACCCCAGGAGCCGCCAGCCCCGTGGCGCCCAGGGAAATCTCAGTGGCAGCCCCGTCCAGACGCTCAGGCCCGCTAGGCCGCAGACAGCCCAACACTTTGCCCTTTTGACTGCCAGAGCATAGGAGGGCCCCCTGCCGCCCCCAAGATGGGCACCGTGGGGAATCATCAAGCCGTATTAAGTAGCAGTTCCCTTTAGCACTTAACAGAGCTCAGAACCGTGCCCTTTAGGAATTCACATCAAATGAGCTTCAGAGAGGCGGCAGGCAAATAGGAAAGCACAGGCATTGAGTTCCTGATGCAAATGAATAATTGAACAGCCTGAAAATACCACGAAAGACTGTTTTGTACATGCGGCAACTGAAGTTCCTGCCCTGGTCATCGGGAAATGCAGCCCTGGTCTGCGCCCATTGCGGCACTCGTGGGCGAACACAGTGTGACATGTCGGTAGGAAGGCAGTCCCTCCGTGGCATCTGTAGGTTCTCTGCCCATACTGTCCCCATCCCCCAAAACTCCAGCCTCTGCCTGGGCTCCGTGCTTTGGGCAGAGGACTGATGTCAGTGTCCCAGCAACCCCAGCCTTGGCGCTGTCCAGTGAGACTTCTCCGCCTGGAGACCAGCAGGGTTTCGACCAGGAAAGCCAGGAGCCCGCGCCCCACTGGAGTGAAGCACATTCAGAGAGTTCCATTTCTCAGAGGCAGAGGCTCTTACCCGTCTCTAACGAGAACGTTAAAGCTTCAGAGGCGACTCAAGGCTTCTCAACCAGGCTGAACACTGTACCAAGTGCCCTGGAGTATGACAGATAAAAAGCCACAATCTCTGTCCTCACTTGAGAAATGATCTTCGGGTGCCTGGTGAAGGCCTATTGGGTTTAAGGGCTGTCATCAGGGCCTTCCCCCGAACTTCCTGGACATGGTGGTTTTGTTACCACAGAGGGTCTGCTGGGGCCCAGCTCGGTGACACCGGAGTGGTTTTCTCCTGTAAAAGCCAGGATAGTGCTGGTAAAAGGAAAGGGGAAGTGGGCGTGAACCCAGCAGCCCGGCCCAACCCCCCCAGTGTGATTGTCGCTGCTCCAACCTTGGAAAGGAGGAGGGATGCAGCCGGAGGGAAGCCCTCTGAGCCCAAGGCCGTGCCATCTGCCTGGCCCTGACCACTCCCGGGAGAGCAGGGCACGATACCCGGGTCTGAGTATGCAGTGCCAGGGGATGCTTGGCCCCGTAGGGAGGGCAGTGGAGGGGTTCATCTCGGTTCCTCCCTGGTCTCACCCACAGCACCGGAAGGGCCCCGGTCACTCTCCACCTCGATGGGATTGTACAGGTCCTGAACTGCCACCTCAGTGACATGGCCATCGGAATGATGACGAGGATCGCAGTCCTGAAATGGCTCTACCACCTGTACATCAAAACTCCCCGGAAGGTGAGCCCCCAGGCGTGCTGGCACTAGGTCACTCCAAGCCAGGGGCTTTTCCGGGGTCCCCCTTGGTTTTCGAGGGTCTTCCATGCTTGGTTAGGTTTTGGTCATTGCTGTTCTGGAGAAATCCTGACAAGCAGAGGAGTGACAAGTGCTGGAGGAACCCTTGGCGTCTCAGGGGAGGGGAGGTGGTCCATGCGGAGGGCCCTGTCCGAGGGGAGCCCGGGCCTGGAGCTGGGGAGTGTTCACGGGCGCCCTGCCTCTCTGCTCTCCAGATGTTCCGGCACACAGACAGCCTCTTCCCCATCCTCCTGCAGACGCTATCGGATGAATCTGATGAGGTAGGTCCCCAGCACCCACTCCTTGTGCCGTGGCTGCCCGGCCTCCCCTTTTCAATGACAGGTGGGATCTCGTAGCTGAGAGGTGCTTGGTGTTTTGTTATTCTCTTAAATGAACACCCCAAAATTGCCCTATTCCTCATACCTGGTAAGGTGCACCGTCTATAGGAAAAGCTGAGTTTACTGCTCTCGCTTTGGGAATGAGGACTTCTGTCAGCTGTTCCGAAGTGGGCCCTGGGTCAGGGCATCCGCGAGGAAACCCGTCTGTGCGGGGACTCGCTGGTCCCCAGAAGGCAGCGGAGAGTGGCAGTAGGGAACACGGCTGTGGGTCCCGCGCCAAGTGCAGGGTCTGCCCCTGCTTCGTTGCCTGAACTTGACCAATTTGCCTCATGACTCTGCTTCTCGGTTCCTTTCCATGTTCAGTGGGGGTGGAAACGGCACACGGGGTCATGAGTGAAACGCTCCACAGAAGATGCTCAGTGCCACACCCGGCACATGCCGAGCGCTCACTGCTTGTTGCTTTATTCATTTCAGCTGGACTCCATTTTTACCTCTAGTTTGAAATTGGACCCTTAAACTTTGCTTTGTTGTCTCACCAAGAGCTGCTGGTGCAAAGGGGAGAGGCTGGCCCAGAAAAGCTGGGCAAGCCGGACCCTCACATCGTCCACCACCTGGGGGCGTGCCTCTAGCCACACACAGTGCCCCGTGCCATTCTCAGCAGAGTTCCGTTCTGGGGAGTTCTTTTTCAGGGGCAGGATTTGTATCCGGGCCATTCTTTAGGGTGGCATCCCGTTCCCCTACCCATGCCAGCTCCAAGCTGCATGTCGCAAGCTGGCTGCCGTGCCTTGACTCACCCCTCTCCTTCCCTCTTCTGGTCTCTGGGCAGCTGTGGGCTCTGGGCAGAGCCGTGTCCTCCATGAGTCAGTGGGTCCATGAATCTTCAGACCTCCCATACTACCCAGTGGGAACGTGGGAGTGGACAAGGGCTGGAGTTTGGGGAAGAAGACGTGGCCCACAACTTCCTGTGGAGAGTAGCACCTCAGTCCTCCCAGAGCCGGTCCCAGGCTCGTGCGGGGCCCATTGTGGCAGTCCTGCAGCCTGAATCTGAGCTGAAAACGATGTGGGCAGGCGGGTGTCTGCTTCTAGGTTTTCTAAGGTACTCTGCATTTCCGGGAAACTCCAAAACAGATGGTTTGGGAAGCTGCCCTTGACCCCTCCTGCCTGCCCACCACACGCGCACATGTGCACACACGCCCTCTCTTTCCCCCACCACCCACTTCCATGCAAGGCCCGGCTGGACTTGGCCCAGTTCTGCCTGAGTTGAGAGTGACTCACTGCACAGTCACAGCCCTCATTTCAATACAAAAAGGAAGAGAAGAACTTTGCTGATTGGTTCTTTCCCCAGGACTTCACTGAAAGCAGCTGAGTTTTCAGTCCTTTAAATTGAGTTGTTTAATCCCATCCAGCTCTCTGCTTGCGATTGGTTTTGTGTGCGTGTGCATTTAAAGGGAGCGGGAGGAGATACAGTCCATTAAATAGCTCTGTTCGGGTCGCGGCTGTGGAAGCTCCATTTGCTGAAGCACCAAATGTTGTCAGGGCTTTGTGGCACATCTTGTGGGTCCCCAGTGGGGAGGGGACTGCAGCTGCTCTAGGGGACAGTTGTGGGGGAGGGAGCTGTTGCCATAACAAGAGCAGAGTCCCTGCTTGCCAATCTCTTTAGGGGAGGGATTCGGGGACCTCAGTAATCAGTGGTGAGTCCCGATTGTGCCACATCCTGCTTCTTCACCAGAGTCACATTCCTAAGTGTCCCCTGCCCGATCCCTCTGGTGACCTTGAGGGTGTACTGTATACTTGACGATGGACATACTGCCATGAACAAGACAAAGTCCCTCTCTCAGCTGGGTTTTCCCAGTATTTCCAGAGACAGCCCTGATAACAAGTCGGAGCCCTCTTCAGGGTGTTCAAGACCCTGAAGCCCATCTAATCAAACCAGACCACAGCCAGACTTCGGGGGTGGAGGGGGAAGACAGGAGTTTCCTTCCTATCGAAGGCTTCATGGAGCCTCCTTCGCTAATGGATACGGCAGCCTTGTGAAGGTCCTTACACCCAGCCTGGGGGCCTCACGGCACAGGTTATTCCGTGTCCTAGCTGAGTCTTGATATCAGCTTAATTGTATGGAGTCGTTCCTGTGCTAGGAACTGTGCTAGACCCTTCCCTTATAATATCTAGAGAAGCCTCAGTAATTCTGTGGAGAAGGGTTGTTGCTGTTTTCTAAATGCAGCTCCAAAAACTAAGGCCTACAGAGGTTAAGGAATTTGCACACAGCTAGGAAGCGATGGGGCAAACTCAAAACCAGATCTTTTTGAGTCCAGAGTCCATCCTTTTAATTACCACATGCTGTGTTCACCACATGCGGCCCTGGCCACCCCCATTAGAACCAGCTGGGGAGGTGGGGGGCTCGCATTTAATTGTGTCATCCCCATCTCTGGCCTTCCTCTCTTGTCCCACAAGTTCTTGAGAAGAGTTCTGTTTGGTGCGGAAAGGGGTGTGTATTCTGAAAAGGGCTCTCCTCCAGCCCCGAGACCGTTTGTCCACTTTTCTTATTGATTTCTAGAAACACTTTGTATTCTGAGGACATTTGATTTATCCTTTTGTTGCAAATGATTTTCTCTCCCAGTATGATTGTTATAAACCCACATGCTCCTCTCCCCACCCTCGGTGACAGCCACTGGCCTCAGAGGACAGAGCTTAAGCAGGTGTTGATGCGAGAGCTAGGCTCAGGGAGGGTTAGGGTTCAGAGACCTAGCTCTGCCCTTCTACCACGTTCTGCAGTCTCGTTGGCACGTGGCCTCCCAGGGAGGTCTGTCTTGTCTGCCATTGTTCTCCAGTTCTGCCCTGGATGACAGTTCAGCAGCCTACATACTTTGGGCATCATCAGTTGTCTCTGCTTTTCCGATATTCAGGATAAGTGGCTGTTTGCTCAGGACTGCATGCTCCTTACAGACTTTATCTGAAAACCCCTTTTGTCAGAAGGAATTTGCAGGTGTCAAATTGATATTCTTGGCACCAGAGTAGAAAACCTCCCATTAGCTAAAGATCCAGTTATTTGTTTTTAAGTAGAAATGCGCCCTTGATTCCACAGCGTGGAATGCGGGGCGCATGCTCAGAGGTTCCTGCTGGACCCTGGCGGCGTGGTGGCGCTGCTTCTTCCCTGGCGGGAAGATGCCAATTGTTGGCTGCCTCCCCAGCCTGCAGCTGCCTGAGTAAGCTCTGCCCGTGAGCCCCAGAGGACGAGTCCTGTCCATGTCTCGATGGTGTGGCTGGCCCAGGAGGAGCCTTGGGGTCTCCTCACCCCTATCCTACTTCCAAGTACAACTGCCTCCCACCCTACATTTAAAATCCTCAGGGTGTAATGGTGGGTACGTGTCATCATACATTGGTCCAAACTCATAGACCGTATAGCACCAGGAGTGACTCCTGACGTAAACCATGGACCTTGGGTGATAACGATGTGTCAGTGTGATCTCACTGATTGTATCCGATCAGCCGCTCTGGTGGGAGGCGTTGATGATGGAGGGTAAGCGTGCGCAGGGGCAGGGGTACCTGGGAAGTCTCTGCCTCCTGCTGAGTATTGCTGTGCACCTAAAACTGCTCTAAAAAATAAAGACTATTTTAAACAAGTAAAAATTTAAAACTTAAAAAAAAAAACCTCAGTCATTGAAGAGACCTAGAAGGACGTCTGGGTCCCACCTGACTGAATGTAGCGTCCCAGACACTTGGTCTCCAGACCTGAGCTTGGATCCCAGCTCTCACCCTCCTCGCCAGGGACCTTGGGCGAGGAGTCTGACCCCCGTGACCTGTGAAATGGGGCTAACGATGTCTACACTTGCCTCGTAGACCATTGTTTAAAGGGACAGTCTGAAGCTCCCACCCAGATCCTGGCCCATGTTGTCACTACCTGTCTGTCTTCCAGGTTCTTTAGGGGGAAATTGGCCTTTTTATTGTGTGAAAGTCCCCTACTCAGGAGCAGGGCTCATCCTATTTATATAAGTCATCTTGTAAACTTAGGCTCTTTTTTTAAAGTCTTATTTACTTATTATGAAGTTTACTTTTGGTGTTTTATATTTTTGTTGCAATTTCGAATGGCATCCCTTTCCAGTAACTTTTCTCCCCAGACAACAGTGCTGCCTGGTGGTGAAGAGCACGGGCTTTGAGGTCAGGCAGGCCCAGAGTCCACTCCTGGCTCTGCCACTTAATAGTTGGTTGGCATTGAGCAAGTGACCAACCACTCTGAATCCAGTTTCCTTATCCAAAACTAAGAGTAATAGGAGAACCACTCTCCCAGGTTTGTCATGAGAATCAAATGAGATCATGAATGTGAAATGCTCGGCACAGGACCCAACACGTATAAACAAGTGGTAAACACTGGCTCCTCTGAGGCCGGTAATAATTCTGCGAAAGGGTCCGATGGCAGAAACACACTGAATTCAGGAAGATGGGCTCTGTGTTGCCCCAGATTCTTCTGCATCAGCTTCAGCAGCAACAGCCAGAACAGAAGCTGGTCTCTGTCCTGTGTCCCTGCCTGTTTTTAGCACTGTGCAGATAGCCAGGGTGGCTCATCGTCCGTCTCCAGGTCTTAGAAAAACCAAGGGGAAGACAGCGGGCCACAGGGCCGGCACCCCTCTCTGTACTCTCCGCTTCCCAGCCTCCTCCTCAAGCACCCCCGAGCTGGAGCTGCTCGGGGAGAGAGCGAGGCCCCGGTGTCGGCGGCTGCGTTCACAGCATTTCAGGTGGACAGGCTCCAAGCCGGCTGCCGTGGATCCAGGGAAAGGAGGAGAAATGGCATTATTGGCAGAGGATCTGCATCAGGGCCTCTCGCTGCCACAGACTGTCGCTCAGGAGCAAAACCTCAGGATTCTGTTGTGATCCTGACGGGCGCACCCTGACAGGCTCCAGAAGCAGCCTCCCTAGACCCTGCTCACCATCTGGGAGCTGGGCTGCCC